CTCTTACGGTAAAAGGAACGGATAAACTTCGTCTCATATGTTTGATCTATTTACGCATCAAATAACACACAATAATATGTTTTCTAACACCAAGTTGCTGGTGCGTTTACATATTATCAATGTGTAACCGACTTGTAAACTGCAACTATATGTCTCCGCTTCAAAAATATAAGATATTATCGTCTCACAATCACTCGTGATGAAATCCATGAAGTGATTCAGATGAGCGTGGGTTTACTCCAATACTCAAATCTTATTACAGGAGTACTCATGAATACTGTAGCAAACTTGTGCTTTGTCTAAACACTCTAGTCAATCTACAGACGGATTCATGACAGTCATACCTCAATACCTACTTCCAAAGTATGATCGACTGTGGATAGTTTGAATAATCTTATTATTCGGGAAGTCAGAGCATGCAAATTGAAACACCAGAATAATCGAATCAATATGGTCTCGAAAACTCTTGATATAAATAAAACACCTTTTATTTACTCACCATCACTACTAGAAAAAGACCATTTTACGACGCGCAATCCACGACACTCAGTGATTTATGTTACGCAAAAGAGAGTGACCTTAAAATGGTGTCCTCTATTCAAAAAATTTAAGCATTTAGGTCAAGCATTATTGCGTGCCATTATATTAGTGTCTTAAAGAAAAAAATCAAAAACACAGAGGGCGCTTTATATTAATCGTGCGTCCTCTATAATTGTCGCCTATTAATTTTAATGAGACGCGCGCTTGTTTCAAAAATTGAGGTACGTATCTGCTAAAATATATAGGGCTTTTCAAACAAAGATCAAAACACTCACTGATCATCACTCAATACACTCTCTACAATCGATCGTCGACTCGCCTTGCAACAACGTCCCCTCCGACGACGTTAGGCTACTTCTCTTCCGGCTGACTTCGCCTCTAGTATACATGCAAAAAAAGGTGAATACCTCTACAGGCTAGTTTTCTCTAGTTATACATGCAAAAAAAATTATCCAAAGCATGAAACCTACAACTAGCATACAATTTGATATTTGAAACAGAAAATCAAGTTAGATGAATACCTCCATATTGTAGCTTGTAGAATTTGGCCTTTCAAGAGCTTAGCAACTAACCTAATTCCAAATTAATTCTTGATCAATACTAATTAAATAATATGATTTCTCAACTAATATATTATACTTATAATATATTAATAAATCACAAATAACCTCTTTCTCAAATATCCATCCTATCAAATTGCTTCGGTGAATGCAACCCAAAATGGACCATGCTACTCTCGGGTCAAGTACATACCAATTATAGTTATGGGCTTAGACACCTAATCCAACAGTCTCCCACTTGGATAAGTCTAATAACTATAACTACAAGTACGACTTGAAAAACTGACTAGCAATCGTAGCTCTCAAAAGCCGTTGTCAAACTCTGACGCGTCCATTAGATAAGAGATCATATATTCCTCCATCCTCGATATCGTATGAACTGAGAGATGAATTATAATCATTCTCTCTGATCATGTGTTGTTTCCCGATTTCTGATTTATGACGACCGACTAATTGAAAAAATCAAATCAGTCCAGGCTTGGCCAAGCGCTTAGGGTTGTCATCACTAAATCATCGAGGGGCCTACAGATATTGCTTTTATCCCTCTTAGGGTAAAAGGAACGGATAAACTTCGTCTCATATGCTTGATCTATTTACGCATCAAATAACACACAATAATATGTTTTCTAACACCAAGTTACTGGTGCGTTTACATATTATCAATGTGTAACCGACTTGTAAACTGCAACTATATGTCTCCGCTTCAAGAATATAAGATATTATCGTCTCACAATCACTCGTGATGAAATCCATGAAGTGATTCAGATGAGCGTGGGTTTACTCCAATACTCAAATCTTATTACAGGAGTACTCATGAATACTGTAGCAAACTTGTGCTATGTCTAAACACTCTAGACAATCTACAGACGGATTCATGACAGTCATACCTCAATACCTACTTCCAAAGTATGATCGACTGTGGATAGTTTGAATAATCTTATTATTCGGGAAGTCAGAGCATGCAAATTGAAACACCAGAATAATCGAATTCAATATGGTCTCGAAACTCTTGAATATAAATAAAACACCTTTTATTTACTCACCATCACTACTAGAAAAGACCACCATTTTACGACGCGCAATCCACGACACTCAGTGATTTATGTTACGCAAAAGAGAGTGACCTTAAAATGGTGTCCTCTATTCAAAAAATTTAAGCATTTAGGTCAAGCATTATTGCGTGCCATTATATTAGTGTCTTAAAGAAAAAAATCAAAAACACAGAGGGCGCTTTATATTAATCGTGCGTCCTCTATAATTGTCGCCTATTAATTTTAATGAGACGCGCGCTTGTTTCAAAAATTGAGGTACGTATCTGCTAAAATATATAGGGCTTTTCAAACAAAGATCAAAACACTCACTGATCATCACTCAATACACTCTCTACAATCGATCGTCGACTCGCCTTGCAGACAACGTCCCCTCCGACGACGTTAGGCTACTTCTCTTCCGGCTGACTTCGCCTCTAGTTATACATGCAAAAAAAGGTGAATACCTCTACAGGCTAGTTTTCTCTAGTTATACATGCAAAAAAATTATCCAAAGCATGAAACCTACAACTAGCATACAATTTGATATTTGAAACAGAAAATCAAGTTAGATGAATACCTCCATATTGTAGCTTGTAGAATTTGGCCTTTCAAGAGCTTAGCACCTCAAGTGTGATGCCTCAAATGGTTCACAAAACACCAAGAGAAAGAGGAGGACAAATGAGAGAGAGGCTATTAACCACCAAAAACGGCTAGCATCTTCTTGGAATGCACAAGTGCCAATTTTAGGGTTTTAAGGGTTACACTTATAGTGTATAATTCCAAGAGTTTCAACTTGTAAAACCTAATCCACTTCCTTGGGCCTTTAATCCAATAATCAATATGATAATCCCTTTGGACTAACTCTTCATGGACTCCACACAGATTTAGTCCACATAATCAACATGGATCGTTAGCCCAAACTATAAGTATCAATGATTTACTTAATCAGTCCCCGTTAATTTAATTAGTCTCTTTTGATCACTAACCTAATTCCAAATTAATTCTTGATCAATACTAATTAAATAATATGATTTCTCAACTAATATATTATACTTATAATATATTAATAAATCACAAATAACCTCTTTCTCAAATATCCATCCTATCAAATTGCTTCGGTGAATGCAACCCAAAATGGACCATGCTACTCTCGGGTCAAGTACATACCAATTATAGTTATGGGCTTAGACACCTAATCCAACAGTCTCCCACTTGGATAAGTCTAATAACTATAACTACAAGTACGACTTGAAAAACTGACTAGCAATCGTAGCTCTCAAAAGCCGTTGTCAAACTCTGACGCGTCCATTAGATAAGAGATCATATATTCCTCCATCCTCGATATCGTATGAACTGAGAGATGAATTATAATCATTCTCTTTGATCATGTGTTGTTTCCCGATTTCTGATTTATGACGACCGACTAATTGAAAAAATCAAATCAGTCCAGGCTTGGCCAAGCGCTTAGGGTTGTCATCACTAAATCATCGAGGGGCCTACAGATATTGCTTTTATCCCTCTTAGGGTAAAAGGAACGGATAAACTTCGTCTCATATGCTTGATCTATTTACGCATCAAATAACACACAATAATATGTTTTCTAACACCAAGTTACTGGTGCGTTTACGTATTATCAATGTGTAACCGACTTGTAAACTGCAACTATATGTCTCCGCTTCAAGAATATAAGATATTATCGTCTCACAATCACTCGTGATGAAATCCATGAAGTGATTCAGATGAGCGTGGGTTTACTCCAATACTCAAATCTTATTACAGGAGTACTCATGAATACTGTAGCAAATTTGTGCTATGTCTAACACTCTAGACAATCTACAGACGGATTCATGACAGTCATACCTCAATACCTACTTCCAAAGTATGATCGACTGTGGATAGTTTGAATAATCTTATTATTCGGGAAGTCAAAACATGCAAATTGAAACACAAGAATAATCGAATTCAATATGGTCTCGAAACTCTTGAATATAAATAAAACACCTTTTATTTAATCACCATCACTACTAGAAAAAGACCCTTTTACGACGTGCAATCCACGACACTCAGTGATTTATGTTACGCAAAAGAGAGTGACCTTAAAATGGTGTCCTCTATTCAAAAAATTTAAGCATTTAGGTCACGCATTATTGCGTGCCATTAAATTAGTGTCTTAAAGAAAAAAATCAAAAACACAGAGGGCGCTTTATATTAATCGTGCGTCCTCTATAATTGTCGCCTTTTAATTTTAATGAGACGCGCGCTTGTTTCAAAAATTGAGGTACGTATCTGCTAAAATATCTAGGGCTTTTCAAACAAAGATCAAAACACTCACTGATCATCACTCAATACACTCTCTACAATCGATCGTTGACTCGCCTTGCAAACAACGTCCCCTCCGACGACGTTAGGCTACTTCTCTTCCGGCTGACTTCGCCTCGCCGACGAGCTTGGGCTCTCCTTCCATCGTTGGAGACTGTTCAATTTTACGTGCCCTAGGTCCGATTAAGGTATTGGAGAAGTCACTTGAGCTTGGTGTTCCTGCTGAAACGATTCAGGCAAAGTCAACTTCCTCGGTTGGCCAGAGAACCAAGTAACAGAAGAGCAAGAGCAAAAGAAAGTCGACACAAGGGGAAGAAGCGCCTGGTATCCATGAAATCGATGATAAATTGAACACATTCAAGGGTTTCTCACCTTCTGAAGCTTCTCAAGTTGAACACAAGGTAACATTTCAAGAAAACCGATGCTCTTAGTTGGGTTTTCTCCTCATGTATATGCTTGCACTTAGTTGGGTTTTCTCCTCCGATTGTCGATTATAGCTGCTCTTTTCATGGTTTCGTCTTGTGTAAACTTCCATGGGAGGTGAATGAACTCAGTGTCTATAAAGTTCATCTCTTTGGCGAACACGCTCCACATCTCTTTCTTGTTCAACATTGACTTCTTTTAGTTTATTTAGGGTTTCTTTATTCTTCACAAGAACCTGAAAAAAGTACAATGTTACTATTATGATATCTTGGAAAATGGATGTTCATTATTTTTAATGAGTTCAAAGACTTACTTGTTCAGATCTTTGTACTTCTGCACTTTTTTCAACAAGAGCACGATGCAAAACAGGAAGTTGATCACCTACAACCTTCTATGTTTCTCTAGAAGTCATGCGTAAAATAGAAATGAGAATAAAAGACAGTCGAAATAATAATCAAATACTACAAAATGTTATACCTTTTCATTGATAATCGAGTTTTATCCATGCAAGATGAAATAAAAAAGAAAGGATATAGGAACAGAGAATCATTTCAGCAATCTCTAATTCATTTAAGCTCTTCTCACTTACTAAAGCTTTGGTTCTCCTGTTTGTGTAGCTTCTAGTAAGAAAGATGTTCCAGCTGCTACAGCCTCAAAGGGTGATAAAGCAACAGTTTCTGCTATAAATTACACTGATATTCGACATACTCAGATAAGAAAAGGTATCTATCTATCTATCTATCTATTTTTAAGGGTACATAAGTTTTTTATTTTTCATTTTCTATTGTGTCATATAAAGATGCGGGTCTTGGGAGCACTTGTGTTATAAGAGAGAAACATTTTTTACTTTCTTGTCCTTTTAAATAGATATTTATCAAATGAATGATGGAAGTAGATAAGGGCAATTCAGTAAATAGATATGAAATATATTATACTTGTGCTAATGGTGATATTCTTGGACTCACACCACCTTCATGCTCCATGTGTGCTATAGTGCATGCATTTCTTAGCTCTCTACATTAAAAAAGAACTCATCACAAGCAGAAGAAAACTATCATTTTGTAGGAAAAATAAAAAATAAAACTAACTTTACTGTTTCTCCACCAAAAATAGGTTCTAAAAACAAGCCATCACGTTTCAATGCCAACCTACTCTGTCACACATATATAGCAAGTAGCCAATTATGAGTACATTAGTTCCCGTAGGCTGCTATTGAGAAGAGCATAATCGTCTTTTCAGATAAGTATCATTACATGTATCATTGCACCAGGAAGATCGTTTGTCCAGTGGAGTCCCAAGCAACTTATCACTAATTCAACAGAACTTTAACACCACAAATAACAATCCAAGTAAGTAACAGTTGTAAAACTAAAACTTATGATATATATATATATATATATATATATATATATATATATATATATATATATATATAGATATATATATATATTATCTAACATTTTTATAAAAATGTGAGGGAAACTCCCCACCCATACCCTCCGGTCTAATGCATTACTTATGTTCTAAAAAAACTTATATTAAGATTTAGGCTATAATATCTTAAATTTATTAGCCCATACATCGCAATGCCCGGGCCTAGCCCAACTAATCAAATAGAAAGTAAACCTTTATTTGTTAAGAATCACTAGCACTCCAGTTGCTCCAATATTTGACCTCTCTTGTATAATTAATTTGTTTAGGAACTTGTATTGTATTTTATTAATGGCTAATAAACAATGAGTATGAAAAGTATCATATCTTCATTAGATGCTTCAAACTTGGTAATTATGAAGCTTTGTTAACTTTGTGGACATTAAATAAAATGTGCAAAATTAGATTTTTCAATATGCGAATGAATGTAGTTAAAATGAAGTTATGTAAGATTCAACCCAATGTAAAATGACTATTTTGCCCTTACTCTTAAATTTATAATTACTATATTGCAATATTAACTTTATATCATTAATCAAGACACAGAACTTCATTTTAGAGACAAAAAAACATAAAAAAAGACAGGGACGAAGTTGTAATTTTACCTCCTCTTCCCTAAAGGAATATTTGCTTCCTGGATCAGTCTGATGTGGAGATTTGGTTGAGACTAGGATCAGTCTTGTGAGACTTTGTATTTGGCTTAATAAAGCATCTTTAGCTTCTCCTTCTTGCTCCAACTGATGTAACTCCTCTTTTAAAGATCGAATTTGATTTTGATATGCCTTGATAAGGGATTTTTCATCATTGATCTGAAAATATAACGTTTTACTTTCAAAACTATTGATTACAGATTTAACTCTCAAGTGAAAATAATTCAAATGCTCATAACCTTATTTTGTGGTGCTTGAATTTCAATGTGTTTTGCATGATGTGCAAATTTTAATGTGTTGTGTATCTCCTCTGAATTGCTTGAAGAGGGAGTAACAGTGCAAATACGCTGAAATAATAAAAAATAAATAAATAAATAAATATGGGCATTAAATAATAAATATGGAAGTTGCATAAAACACTTATAGATACCCTTCCATGACCACTTAAAAAAGACTGAAGAAGTCTGGTCAATTTTGAGTCTCTGTATGGTATATGAGCAGCCCTCCCATCTGATAGTTTTGATATAACCTGTGACAAGTTATTATTTATCACAAATCTTGTTTACTTTTTTACCCTTGGAGACTATACTGATAAAATAATGAGAATGATTGAGGACTTACAGTTCCAAGAGTTAGCAGGCTTTTATTTATGTAGGCCCCTTCTTTTCTACGAATACCAGTAGTTTCAGCTTTAGAGCTCTCGGAGCCAGCTAGATTTATGAGGTTCTGCTAAACGAGTCAAAATGACGATAATACCCATGGAAATATGTCTAAAATGAGGTTCAGGGGCATACCAGTTGCGACAAGTTGACAGCCTCACCTGGAAATAGGTCCAAAATATGTCTAAAATGAGGTTCAGGGGCATACCAGTCAAAATGACGATAATACCCTCTTTTTGGAAGATATGCAAGCTGCTTATTTATCAGATCATTCAAGTTAGGTTAAATTACAGTTTTCGTCTCTGGGTTATTTAAAGTCTTCTTCATTTCTTCAAGCTGGGTTATTTTATTTATATAAATAAATAAAATAAAATAAAATAAATGCAGTATTTATTAGTGGAAGGGTAAAAAGGGAATAATACATAGGACCAAGTAACACCATTATGCTCCTAACACCAAGATATCGCGATGCAGCACCTGCTAACCCCTGTTTACAAAATCAACAATCAATAAACAATATTTTCATTAAATAAAATTCATAACTTAATATTATATTATATTCATATTTATATCCAATCATCTTCAAATAACAACAAAATAAATAGATTATCATAATATAAATTTATTATATTTATATCTAAATCCAATCACCTGTTTTGCTGCAAGTAAAGCTGCTCTTGACTCCAAGTTTATAGTTGCCATTCTTCCACCCTGATAACAATCATAACATTAACATACTATATATATTATATATATATATATATATATATATATATATATTATATTTACCTCTTTGAGAACTTCCTTCTTTATTTGATAATTAGCTGCTTCCAAGAACACTTTGCCTAATAATTTACTTGATATCTACAACACCAGATGATTTTGTTTTCATTTTTTTATGTTGAGAATTCAATTTATGAAAATATATTTAAAGGTAATCTCTTACCAAATTGTATAGCTTTCCAACTGTAAACATCCGTCCACCCTATGAAACCAAAAATAAAGAAAATGAATAAATGCAATAAATAGCAACATACTTTCATTTATTCATGAAATCTACATGATTATATCATTTTTTTTCAAAGTACAATGTTAGGAAAAAGTGAAAACAAATCATTGAAAGTAAGTTTGCATTTCTTGCATTTAGCCCTTAATAAAAACATTTTTCTAATAACCTAAAGAGAACATAAATATAAGGGGAAAAGAGAAATATGTAAAAAGAATTATTATTATTATTATTCATAAATAAGTAAAACCTTCAGAATTGTTGAAAAGAACTCTTCAGCCCCATGTCCTAACTTGCATGTGATAACATTCTTTGTTTTCTGATCACATAGACCTATCTGTTCACGTTAGCTAGTTTCACCATACAGGTTAGCTTCTCTTCTTGGTTCACCCAGAACTTTGATTTTTTCACACAAGTTAGCTTCTCTAAACAAAAGACTAAACTACCCCTAATAAAATGGTATGCTTTGAACCAGTCACCTCCTTTGACTAAAAGTCAGAATTAAACCGAACACCCACTCAATCTGTTTGCATATTTTTGTACTCCAAAGTCATGCTTTATTATAATAACATGCTGAAAAAGTAATATGAACAACATGCAATCCTGAACTACAATAAAAAGAAAACAGTGATTTATACTAATAACATGCTGAAAAAGTAATTTACTAAATAAATAAATAAATAAATAAATAAAATACTTGGATGCTGAAAAAGTAATTGATACCCTATACAGTTTTGTTTTTGCACAGTTTTGGTCCCTGCATCAGTTTTGTCCCTGTACAGTTTTGGTCCCTGCATCAGTTTTGTCCCTGTACAGTTTTGGTCCCTGCATCAATTTTGGCCCCTGTACAGTTTTTTTGTCCCTGTACAGTTTTGGCTTGTTAGTACTTTCTCGCCCTTTTTTGCTTTAATTTGATCATTTATGTCGATTAAATATGTTAAAAAGTCAGGAAAAAAACATAACAAATAATGGCCAATACAACCATGAAAAAACATTCTAAAAACACTACTAAATATTGATGTTATTTAATTATTAAAACATAGTTACATAAGGACAAAAAATTTCATTTACTCGTTTTTGTCCCTGTTTTCAAAAGCCTGTCTCTGAATTTCATAGTTTTTGTATCAGCCTGCACATGTATAACAAATACAAATATAAAATTTTATAAAGGATGTTGTATTTCTCATATAACCAAAAAATTACAAAAATCCCCTTGACATGAAATGGGTTAGAATTGGAGTTACAAGAACCTGTGAGCTTAAACCAACATGTATTTGACATCTGATTGGCCCCTGAACAGTTTGTTTGTCAAGATTGGCCCAGGTACAGTTTTTTTTGTCCCTGTACTGTTTTTTTATCCCCTGTACAGTTTTTTGTCCCTGTACAGTTTTGGCCCCTGTACAGTTTTGCTTTTGCACAGTTTTTGTCCCTATACATGCGTAATCATTGTTCCTTTAAATGGTAAATAATTATGTAGGTTGGAAACAAATGTTTAATGGATAAATCATGGATTTCCTCTAGTAGATTATCAAATGCATATGATGAAGGTGTGAATGCTTTTCTAGAGTTTGCACAAAGTAATAATCCAAAGTTAGACGTTATTCCATGCCTTTGTGTAAATTGCATCAATTTGTGTCACCACTCAATTGACAATGTCCGTTATCATTTGTTTGCCCACAGCTTCGATGAAAATTTTAAGATTTGGTCTTTCCATGGAGAAAAACACCCCAAGAGTGATTCTAGATGCCCTAACAATTTCATTCCTCCTGATGTTATTTATACAAAGGATATGCTACATGATGCCTTCAAATATGTAGACGAAGAGCCTGATTCATTTAAATCACTTCTTGAAGAATGTGATAAGCCACTTTATGTAGGGTCAAAATATAATGCACTTAGTGGATTATTGAAATTCCAACATTTAAAGGGTCAGTTTGGATGGTCTGATGCTAGTTTTGATGCTTTGTTGTCTGTCCTAAAAGATATCTTACCATCAAACAATACCATCCCTAGCTCGATATATGAGTCCAAGAAGTTGCTAAAATGAGTAGGTCTACAATATGAGAAGATTCATGCATGTGAAAATGATTGTGTTCTATTCTGGAAAGAACATAAAGATGCTTCTCAATGTCCAACTTGTGGCACTTCTCGTTGGAAAAAGATTACCAAAAACGTACCTTCAAAAGTTTTTTGGTATTTTCCTATCATCCTTAGATTTAGAAGAATGTTTTCAATACCACAAATTGCACATGACTTAACTTGGCATGCATAAGGTCGGGTCAATAATGTGAAGCTTACTCATCCTCGCATACCCCTTCTTGGAAGCTTGTTGATAACACATGGAAAGAATTCGGACAAGAAAAACAAAATCTTAGATTAGCCTTGTCTGCTAATGGTATCAATCCTCACAAGTCATTAAGTTCCAAGCATAGTTGTTGGCCGGTTATCCTAGTAACATATAATCTACCCCCTTATTTGTGTATGTCAAGAAAATTCATGATGTTGACTCTGTTGATATTCGGGCCAAACCAACCTAGTAACAATATTGATGTCTACTTGGAACCATTGACAAAAGATCTAAAACTCTTGTGGGAAACTGGCGTTGAGACTTTTGATTCTTATAAGAAAGAATACTTCAATCTAAGAGCAATATTACTTTGGACTATAAGTGACTTTCCCGCATATGGTAATCTTTCGGGGTGTGTTACCAAAGGTTATTATGCTTGTCCAATATGTTTAAAGAATACTTGTTCACAATGGTTGCCAAAGTCTAAAAAAGTATGCTTCATTGGGCATAGAAGATTCCTACCACTTGAACATCCTTTTCGTAAAAGAAAAAAACATTTCAACAATCAACATGAGCATGATTTTATGCCACAACCATCATCAGGTGAAGATATTTATGACTATCTGGCGGGATTTGAGACTACATGGGGGTAAGAAGATAAAGTCAAAGAAGGTAAGATCAAAGAAGATAAAGTTAAAGAAGATAAATTCAAAGAAGGGAGCGTCAAAGAAGGAAACGCCAAAGAAGGAAAAGTCAAAGAAGAAAAAAGAAAGTATCGACAAGAGATCTAAATTTTGGCATAAAAAGTCTATTTTTTTGAACTTGAATATTGGAAGAAGTTACCTGTTCGCCATCAGTTAGATCTCATGCACACAGGAAAAAAATGTGACCGAGAGTCTTTATGGGACAGCGTTGAATTTGCCTTACAAGACGAAGGATGGATTAAAAGCACGACAAGATCTTGAAGCGTTGAGCATTAAGACTGAATTACGACCTCAACCAAAAGGGGATCGACATTGGCTTCCGCCTGCCAAGTACACATTGAATTCTACACAGAAACATCTATTTTATGATACCTTGTCTAACATAAAAGTTCCTCATGGGTATTGCTCTAATTTCAAGAATCTCGTGTTGGATGATGTTTCAAAGATGAATGGTTTGAAGTCTAATGATTGTCATGTACTCATGCAACAACTTCTCCCTTTTTCAATCAAAGGGGTGTTATATGTGAAGATATGGAGAACAATCCTAAGCATGTGTCATTTTTTCAATGAGTTGTGCAGTAAAGTTGTTGATGTTAGTAAGCTAGGCAAGTTGCAAAGTAACATTGTATTAACATTATGTTTGTTAGAGAAGTACTTTCCTCCTTCATTTTTCGATGTCAAGATTCACTTGATGGTGCATTTAGTTAGAGAGGTGAGGTTGTGTGGCCTGGTTCATTTTAGGTGGATGTATTCATTTGAGAGATACATGAAAACACTTAAAGGGTATGTAAGAAATCATCATCGACCCGAGGGTTGCATTGCAGAGTGTTATGTGGGGGAGGAGGCCCTAGAATTTTGTTCAGACTACTTAAAAACATGAAATCAAATGGAAATCCTCATGAACGTATTGATGAAAGAATCCGCAGCGACAAGCCTTTATCAAAGGCTACAATCGATGTGGTAGATGCTCAGTTGCTTGATCAAGCTCATCTTTATGTATTACGAAACACTGTTGTTGTGGAGCCGTATATAGAGTAAGAATTACATGAAATTGTATACTCTTATACCATTATCTATCATATAAAACATTCTTCTAACTTGTAGTGCACTTCAGGAAACATATGTTGGAATTGAAGGATCTCAACCCCCGTCACGCTCGCAAGAGTACATGGTTGCAGAGCCAACATAGTCGGACATTTATTAGTTGGTTTAAGAAAGAGGTTTATTTTTAAAATAAGATTTTTAGAATTACAATATTTTTAATTATTTTGTTTGAATTACATTAATTAGATATTTTTCTAATAGGTTGGAAAATGTTTGGCTAACGGGGAAGATATTTGTGATGATGTTCATTGGTTGGCCAAAGGGCCTAATTTTGCTGTTAGTAAATATAGCAGTTTTGCCATAAATGAGTATCATTTTCATACAACATCTCGAGATAAGTATAGAACAACTCAATGCAGTGGAGTATCTTTAGTTTCACATACTATGCAGATTGCTAGTGCAAAAGACTCCAATCATGTGTATGGTGTTGTTACTTACTTCGGTCGTATAAAGGAGATATGGGATCTTGATTATCGCATGTTTACTATTCCTGTATTCATGTGTGATTGGGTTGATAGTCGTGGAGTAAAAAAGGATGATTTAGGATTCACGGTAGTTAACTTTGATAGGCTTGGTCAGAAGTCTGAACCCTTCGTATTAGCTAGTCAAGCCAAACAGGTTTCTTATGTTCATGATCAACAAGATGAGAATTTGCATGTTGTTGGATTCACACCACATAGGTGATGGGTTTTGAGCATTCTAACACTCCTAAGGTGTACATACAACCCCAAAATACCTTGGATCTATGTTTTCTCTATTATACATGCAAACTTTCATTTTCCAAGGTATTACCCTAATTAGCATACAAAACTTTGATTCTTGGGTAATAAAACAAGTTAGATAACATACCTTTTCTTGTAGCTTGTTGCTTGGAG